GCTTGCTGCCTCTTCCCTTCTCTCCCACCTGCTTACCTACCTACTTACCTTTTTCTGCTTCTCCCCCTCTCAGCTTCTGTCCTCCTCGCTCACTCACTCACCCATCCACCTTTTTTCTGTTCCCCCCCTTACTTTAGCTTTGCCCTTTCACATTTTTGCTCCTTCCTCTCCAGCTTTACATTCCCTTCCTCCTATATTTTGTATTGACTAGTGTAAGCCGCCCTGAGCCAGCTCGCGGGGAAGGCAAGGTATAAATCGAATGAATAAAATAAAAATAAAATAAAAAGTTTTTTAGTCCGTCTCGCTCTCTCTTCCTCTGACACTAAGTGAGGGTTGGAATTCTTGGCAATGTTGGTTAGGGGTTGCCTAGCAAAGTGGCCACTGAGAAAACACAATGCATCTTGCAAGATCTTGGTGACATTATTTTCTTAAACAAGCAGATGTTGTTTCTAGTGGCTAAGTTTGCATATGACACTAAGTTGTTCAGGGCGATGAAAACCAGGGAGGACTGTGAGGAGTTCCAGAGGGATCTGTTGTGGCTGGATGACTGGGTATCAGCATGGCAAATGAGGTTCAGTGTAGGCAAGTGCAAAGTGATGCACATTGGAGCAAAAAATCCCAACTATAAATGCATGTTGATGGGGTCTCAGTTGGCAGTAACTGACCAGGAGAAAGATCTTGGAGTCATGGTAGATAACCCACTGAAAATGTTGAGTCAGTGTGTGACTGCAATAAAAAAGGTAAATGCTGTGCTGGGGATTATTAGGAAGAGAACTGAAAACAAATCAGCCAGTATCATAATGCCCCTGTATAAATTTATGGTGCAGCCTCATTTGGAATACTGTGTACAGTTCTGGTCACGGCACTTCAAAAAAGACATTATAACAATGGAAATAGTGTAGAAAAGGGCAACTAAAATGATTAAGGGGATGGAACACTTTCCCTATGAAGAAAGGTTAAAGAGATTAGGACCGATTCCCTACAAGCTGCTGCTCCGCACTCGCTCTTCCCTTTGCCCCATTCGTATGTGTCAATTTCACACCATGTGCTGCGCGGCCGCATTTTGCCCCGCAGCTTCGCCCGATTTCCCCCACGTCTACTCAATCCTGTTTTTTGAGGACTGAGTAGACACTGGGGAAATCGGGTGAAGCTGCAGGGCAAAATGCGGCCGCGCAGCACATGGTGTGAAATTGACATGTACAATCGGGGCAAAGAAAAGAGAGAGTGTGGAGCAGCAGCTTGTGGGAAATCAGTCTAGGACTCTTATGCTTGGAGAAATGACAACTGAGGAGTGACACAACAGGTTTATAAAATTATGCATGGGATAGAGAAGGTAGAGAAAGAAGTACTTTCCCCCCTTGCTCACAATACAAGAACTCGTGGTCACTCAATGAAATTGATGAGCAGCAGGTTTAGAACAGATAAAAGGAAGTACTTCTTCACCCAAAGAGTAATTAACACGTGGAATTCACAGCCGTAGGAAGTGGTGGCAGCTACAAGCATAGACAGTTTCATGAGGGTATTGGATAAACATATGAAGCAGAGGTCCATCAGTGGCTATTAGCCACAAGGTATAGATGGAACACTCTTCCCGGAGCAGCGATGCTTTGTATTCTTGGTGCTTGGGGGGGGGGCAACAGTGGGAGGGCTGCTGGAGTTCTGGTCCCACTGGTGGACTTCCTTATGACACCTACGTAGGTTTTGGCCACTGTGTGACACTGAGTGTTGGACTGGATGGGCCACTGGCCTGATCCAGCACAGCTTTTTTTATGTTCTTATATAGTTACCTTCATGGAGTAATTATTAAGATAGGGAAAGCATACAGACATTCAGTGCAGCACCTCCAGCTACAGCATGAAGCGATGCAGTCCACAAAAAGCTAGTCATTTTGATTCTGCCAATTGTTTAAAATTTAGGACTGCCTAAATTTCTCTAGGCTGAGCTCAACTTCCTTCAAGGAGCACAACCTCACAGTGGTTTGAGGTGGAAAATTATGCAAGCGGACACCAGCAAGCATGATAGTTGTTGTATTTGTTTTCAAAGGAAGAACTCTTTGGAACCAGATCACACACATTTATATTGGCCTGACTGTTACTATTGGTTTTATTCAACCAGACTTATTTTGCAAAAGCTCAAACTTAGCAGGTAATATGCAAATTCCAGTAAATGAATGTATGCGTATGATGAGTACTGAGAGCCAGTGTGGTGTAGTGGTGAAGAGTGTCGGGCTAGTATCTGGGAGACTCTGGCTTGAATCCCCATTTGTGCCATGTTAGCTCACTGGGTGACCTTTGGCCAGTCGTACACTCTCTGCCTAACCTACCTCACAGGATTGTTGTGAGGATAAAACGGAGGAGAGGAGAATGATGTAAACTGCTTTGAGTCCCCATTGAGGAGAAATGCAGGGTATAAGTGAATTAAATAAAATATATATTGTCTTCCCCTCTAGGAGATTTGGCAACTCTGTGTATGTCTGATGACTACAGAATTTATTAAATACTTGTCAGGGTAGAGTCGCCTAGGATTACTGAATATACATCAATCAGTCAATGCATCCAGAATGTATACACAAATCTTTTTTTATCTTGAGTCCAATTCCAATTCCAATTCCAATAACCTTTATTGGCATAACTATCTTGAGTCTTAATACACTTGAAGTGCAGACAGTCTATTCATAGGCATATACATGTATGTATAATTCCCTTGAGGCTTCCTGTCTAGCCTGCTTCTGTGTTTTGATGATGCTCAATTGGTAGGTTAAAAAAAGAAACATCTTGGTAGTTTTTCCAGATCAAAGGTCCACTCCATAGGACTATTTCTGGAGTGACCTGTTCTTGTTCGGAGCAGAGAAAGTCACATACACACTGAGGCTGGTCTGGCAAACATCTTCCGAGCTGCCTGAGTGGCTGACTACACATTATCTTCTCTCAGGGGACAACCCTGGCCAAGTGGAGAGGTGTCTTCTGAAGTTCCATGCTTCCTAGGCATGAGTAGGCCCCCGTTCAGATTGGGACAGACCTTCTTTTCTGAACTGTCTTCATAAATTAAAATGGCTCAGAGGAGGTGCTGTTTGCCCCACTGAAGGTTGCGCACGTACTAATGAGTTTAGGATTGCCATCTTTGGGTTATGAAATTCTTGGAGATTTGGGGTGGAGCTTGGAGAAGGCAGTAGGATTGCCAGCCTCCAGGTGAGGCCTGGAGATCTCCTGGAGTTACAACTGATCTCCAGACAACAGTTGCCCTGGTGAAAATGGCTGCTTGGGGGGTAGACCCTGCTGTAGGGTTGCCAAGTCCATCTTCCACCCCCAGCGGGGGACTCTGGGGGCGTTCCTGGAGGGGGCAGGGCATCCCCGATGTGATGACATCACATTGGGGACGTCTGCCACCCCCCCACACCCGCCCGTGCGCCAGATCTCCAGAAACGGCAGTTCCCTGCACTTAAAGGAGCCGGTGTTTCCCTTTTAAATCCAGGAGTCGGCGTTTCCCCTTTAAGAGCAGCCGCGTTTCCCTTTTAAGAGCACGAAGCTGGCATTTCCCTGCAAGCTTGCGGAGATCAGGCTTGGGAGGAAACACGGGTTCCACACACTTAAAGGGAGAGAGATGTGTGGCTGTGGGTGTTGGGGGTGGGGCTCCCCCCACCGGCCATTTGGCCGGCGGCGGGTAGAACCCCCCCCCAAATGGGGGACCCCTGGCAAACTGGGGGGTTTGGCAACCCTACCCTGCTGAGGTCCCTCCCCTCCCAACACGCCCGTCTCCACCCCCAAATCTCCAGGAATTTCTTAAGATAATCCTAGGAGCTGGGGGTGGAGACGTCAACAAGGTATAAAGCCATTAGGGATGCCAGCCTCCAGATGAGACCTGGATCTCTTGCCTGGAATTACACCTCATCTCCAGACTACAGAGATCAATTCCCTTGGAGAAAATGGATGCTTTGGATGGTGGACTCAGTGGTATTGCATTGCACCCCAGTGAGGCCCCTGTCCTCCCCAAGCTCCACCCCCAAATCTCCAGGGTGTTTCCAACCTGGAACTGGCAACCCTGCCCCCACCCCAGCTGGTAGTCAGGAAGGACCTGGCAACCCTAAATGCCATACAGTCCATCCTTCAAAGCAGCCCTCCCCCTCCCCCAGTGCAACTGGTATCTACAGTCTGGAGACCGGTTGTAATACCTGGAGATCACCAGGCCCCACCTGGACGTTGGTAATCTCCATTGAGCTACATGTTAAGTTTCCACAATGGGGCAAATCACACCTCCCCCTAGGGTGTTTCAGGTTAGCAAAATAATGGAGAGGGGGTGGTATCAGCCCACTCTCTGCGCGCCACAGTCCCAATTCAAACTGGATCCACACATGCCTAGAAAGCATAGAGTGCGCGGACGCACCTCCCCATCCATGCTTGGGAGATCCCAGGAAAGAATTAATGTGTAGTGAGGTAGAAAGATGAACTAATATGCAGGTGATTTTTAAAAGGAAAGCTTTGATCCACTTGGACTGCTTATCTTGGACTTCAAGAATACAAGGACTATATGTTAGATCAAGTTAGGATCAATGTTCCCTCTAAGCTGTGGAGTCTTGTGAGCAAAAGTTCTACTTTGCGAGCTACTGGCATTAAAGTTGTGAGCAAGAGATTTGGCTACTGCATAAATTAGTTTGCTCTGGAGCCATCCTTCCTGAGCGAAAGCAAAAATGTGTGAGCTGGAGGCTAAAAAACTGTGAGCTAGCTCACACTAACTCAGCTTAGAGGGAACACTGGTTAGGATGGTTTTGGCTTCATTTTTTAAAGTGCTTCTGCATATTGATGTGTATCTATTGCTCAATTTTGGTTATCACCTTAATTCAGGCTTGCAAAGAGAGTGACCTGCTGCACCAAACAGAGATGCCTAGCCTTGTATGAGGGGCCACCATGGGCTCGGGGAACTTCCTGTCCTGTTTTTACTGCCTTCTTGGGGCTAAAAAGACAGAGGGGCAGTCAAGTATCTGAAAATCCCTAATTCACAAGACCTCCTTTAATTCATTCTCAGGTGTTTTTAAAAATAATAAAGACCTACTATTGGAGTGTTATTAATGCTTCACCCTGACACCACGGTAGTGGTGTTTGCACAAAACGGACAAGAGTCCAATGTATTTGTAAACTTTCAGATCCCAAAGGAGTTCACTGTGTCTGCAAGGACAACTTCTTGTTTAAATTATTTGGGATTAAAAACACTCCAACCAACCAGAATGGAAACTTGTGGGCAGTTAGCAAACGTCACCATAGAACCTCATAGAGTACAGTCTCTAAAAACAATCTGGGTTATTTTTTTTCTCCTGTGCTCTTGGTTTATTCTGACCAGAGTCAAAGAAGTCCCTTACCCCTTCTTCTTCCTCCCCCTCCTCTGAACTCTCACCACCGTAGCCTTCTTCTGATGAGTCACTGTTAAACTAAAAAAAAAGAAGAAGACATTTGTGAGGTATTGCCCGGATTTTTACCACAGATAACACCAAACACTTGTACACACAATAACTATCAACATCTGTTCTCCAAACCTTGTACATCATTCCCACAAAAGTCAAAGGAATGTATATGGTACTTCAGGACCCTGCCATTAGCCTCCTCTTTTTGTTGAACAGAGAAATGACACATGTTGAGTCAGGAAATGAAGATAATTTGGTGTCTGAATCACCCACATGAAAACTAGAGAGAACCAATGTGTGCTGTACTGTATAGAGAGCTGGCCGTGAAGTGGGCAAATTTGGGTACAAACAAACTCATGCTCAGCCATGAAGGTCATTGGGGTGATGCTTGGTTATCCATCGTCTCACAGCCTAGCCTGGTTCATAGAACTGGATCCCACAAACCCATTCCAATAATAGAAGGGGGGGGGGGGTTTCCCATCAGGCACAAGGAGAATTCCCTTGAAGCAAAACACCTCTTGTGTTGGGAAGTTTCCTTCCACTGAATGAAAACACTTCCACTAGCAGAAAAGACATGCTGGATCCAACTTATAAAATGGTATAGCTCCAGTGCATATTGCTTTAAGTACCTCTGAAGCAGTGTAAGTACCTCTGACATAGCACAGCATAGATCAGGCTAGCCTGATCTAATCAGAAATCGGAAGCTGAGCAGGGTAGGCCCTGGTTCATACTTGAATGGGAGACCACCAAGGAATTCCAGGGTTGCTACGCAGAGGCAGGCAATGGCAAACCACCTCTGGATGTCTCTTGCCTTGATCCCTATGGGGTCACCATAAGTCAGCTGTGGCGTGATGGAAAGAAAAAAAACGGGGTCCCAGGTTCCAGGCTTAAAGCCTAAAAGTCTGTGATTTTCCATTTGCTCTGTGGTGTGCTTGACGTAGGGTCACCAGCTCTGGGTTGAGAAATTCCTGCGATTTGGGGGCGGAGTCTGGGAAGGGTGGGGTTTGGGGAGGGGAGGGGAAAGACCTCAGTGGGATATAATTCCATAGAGTCCGCCTTCCAAAGCAGCCATTTCCTGCTGGGGACCTGATCTCTGTGACCTGGAGACCAGTTGTAATCCCAGGAGATCTCTAGCCGTCACCTGGAGACTGGCAACCCTAACTTGATGGGGCAAGGGCAACTTCTTGGTTATATTATTTTTACCATTTCCCTTATTTTATAAAGTCAGTAGATGGGGAGGGGGGATGCCCAGCCTTTTAACCAAAGAGATTAGAGCAGGGTAGACGTAATGCTTAGACATTCTCCCACTCGGGGACCTATCCTGCCTTGCTTCTACTGCCTTCATGACCTTCTCTAATGCTCTTCTCCAGAACTATGTCTACCCACAATGCAGGGCAATTTCTCTGCCTAAGGAACTGGAAAGAGACCCTGAGGCCCTGGCAGCAGGGCTGGGCACTCAGCTTGCTCCCCAGGGTGCTCCCAGCTGGATATGGAACTAACAGAGGTCATTTCGGGGGGATCGCGGGGGAACGCAGTTCCCCCAGGTGAGGTACGGGGGGCGGGGCACATGACGAAGCCCCGGCCCCTGCTTCCGGCTGCCATGCTTCCAGCCCTCATTCAGCCAGGAGGAGGCAGGAAAAGAGGGAGGGTAAGTTGCTTCCTCCCCGCCTCTCCCCACCCCTGCCTGCCTGGGGCCAGGGAGGGCCTTGGCGGGGCTTCCTCGCACTCCTGCTGGCCTTGCAGGTCCACCGCCGGGCCCCTGATGTCAGGGGGTGTGGTATATGCTAATGAGTTATGCTAATGAGTTCCCCTAGCTCTTTTTCTACGAAATGACCCCTGATTATGCTACAGCGCTCATTCAGAAATGGGCTGGTTTACTCACACAGGATAATCCAGTTGTAATGTCCAGGGATTTGTGAATACAGCCAAATCAGTGTGTCTGGCCAAAGGCAACTCTTGTATCTGCCTGTTTGCCAGCACACAAGTATCATCCCAGGTAGGCAGTATGGTAATTTGGGCAATTGAGCCAAAAATGGTTGTCTACCCCTGTGTCATTGGCTGAACCCTACATTGGTATTAATCTCTGTGTAGGCAATGCTGAAGAAGAAGAAGAAGAAGAGGAGGAGGAGGAGGAGATTGGATTTATATCCTGCCCTTCACTTGGAGTCTCAGAGCGGCTTACAAATCCTCCACTTCCTCTCCCGACAACAGACATCCTGTGAGGTAGGTGGGGCTGAGAGAGCTCTCTTGAGAACTGCCCTTGAGAGAACAGCTCTCAGAGAACTTTGACTGACCCAATGTCACCCAGCTGGCTGCACGTGGAGGAGAGGGGAATCAAACACGGTTCTCCAGATTAGAGTCCACCACTCTTAACCACTACAGCAAACTGTCTCTCAGTGTATGTAATCTGTATAGAAAACAGGAATGGCATGGCTATACCATGCATACAGTTGCTGATTCTGGATTGGAAAATTCCTGGATATTTAGGGGTGGGCAGGGTGAGGGGAGGGACCTCAGTGGGGTATAATGCCATACAGTCCAGTCCACCCTCCAAAGCAGCTATTTTCTCCAGGAGAACTGATCCCTATAGTCTGAAGATCAGTTCTAATTCCAGGAGATCTCAAGGCTCCACCTGGAGGCTAGGAACCCTACGGTCAGAAAGTGTTCCTATTTCATCCATTGATCCTGGAGGTCCCCTACAACTCTATGATTCTATGATCTCATCAGATCTTGGAAGCTAAGCCTTAGGGCAGGGGTGTCAAACATGCAGCCCAGGGGCCAGATCAGGCACTCGGAGGGCTGCAATCCGGCCCGCAAGGCCCTGGCTGTTTCCTGCTTCCTTTTCCAGTTCTGCTGCTGCTGCTGCTACATCACAGCTTACTTTACCAGACTCTCTCAATCACACAGGAGAGATAGATAGGCAAGCCTCTCCTATGTGATTGAGAGAGTCTGGTAAAGCACTGGCTGAGGCTCCTCCCCGTCCCAGGAGGAGGGAGGGAACCAGCCAGAGCTTGCTTCCTGTCCAGGCTGCCTCCGTATTCAGGAGACAAAGATAAGCCTTTCTTTCGTTCCACTGGCTGAGGCTCCTTCCTGAAGGGAGGCAGGGAGGGAGGGAACGAGTGAGAGCTTGCTTTGCTGGACAGCCTAAATTGCATGGCAAAAATACCAGGCACCTTTAAGACCAACAAAGTTTTGTTCAAGGTATGAACTTTTGTGTGCCTTGCTACAGTGTGTTTGTATTCTGTTGGGCTCCCTATGTTGTGTGTGTTTTGTTGGGCTCCTTATGCCAGGGCTCTCTCGGGTGCAACCGGGTTCCCTCCCCCTTTTCACTGTGTTCACGTCCTCATGATCCAGTCTTTCTCAGTAAGAAAACAATGTGAAAGTTAATTGTGTTTGTCTGTGTCCTTTATAAAGTTTATCTCTCCGCTACCTGGCATTACATTTTATGACACACATGGCCTGGCCCAACAAGGTCTCATTTATGTCAGATCCGGCCCACATAACAAATGAGTTTGACACCCCTGCCTTAGGGGTTGAATGGCCCTATATATTTAAACAACTGGGAGGCCATCCCAATACCCTTAAGCCCACAGCTCCATGCCTGTGTTGTCTTGACAGCAAGAAGCATGCAATTAGAAATTGGACTCTGTGAAGCCATGTGATCGACACAAAAATATCCCCGCAACCATCATGCCAAACCGCCATTCTGCCAAGGCATCGTTCCCAGAAACAATGCAATTTTTAGCTATTTTGCATGAGCCAGCCTTGAAAACATGTAATTAGCAGTCCCCTGTATCTCTGTCTCTCAGTCCAGAGAAGACAACTGTCGGTTCAGAAGATGCTGTTGCGTGCATACCCACTGTGTTCCTAAAAACTTTGTTACCTTTTCTTATATTTAAGGTGGTAGAAGAAGATGCTGCATGAGCTGTCTCGATGCTGAGCGTGGCACGGAACTGAAAGCCCTGACATGGGGTTCATTGGCCCAATGGTTCTGTGAATGTGTCTGCCATTCCTAGAAGGCTTTGCATAAGTCAGTATGCCATGCACTTGCCAGCATTCCTTTCAGTGCACTTACAGAACATTTAGTTAGGACTAAAAGGGTTGCGGGAGGGAAAGCGGCATGGGTATAGCTTGATCTCGTCAGATTTTGGAAGCTAAGGAGGATCAGTACTTGGAAGGGAGACCACCAAGGAAGGCTCTGCAGAGGAAGGCAATGGCAAACCACCTCTGCTTCTCACTTGCCTTGAAAGCCCCTTGCTGGGGTCACCATAAGAAGAGGAAGAGATTGGATTTATGCCCCACCCTTCAGTACCTGAAAGAGTCTCAGAGAGGCTTACAATTGCCTTTCCCTTCCCCTCCACACAACAGGCACCCTGTGAGGTAGGTGGGGCTGAGAGAGCTCTCCCGAGAACTGCCCTTGAGAGAACAGCTCTGAAAAAACTTGTGACTGACCCAAGGTCACACCAGCAGCTGCATGTGGAGGAGTGGGGAATCAAACCCAGTTCTCCCAGATTAGAGTCTGCGCTCCTCACCACTACACCAAGCTGACTCTCAAACTGGCTGTGACTTGTTGGCACTTTACACACATACCAAAGGATTTCAGGCCCAACTTCTGCACATAATTCTGCATCTCATCTTGGTAATCAGTGGTATGAGTTTTTATGATCTGGACGTGGAGTTAATTTAAATGTTGCGGACAATTATAGACCAGAGAAGAGACCTGTCCTAAGAGATATTTTCAGTCATTTTCATTCATATATGTTTACTCTATTGCTTGCCTAGCCTATTCTGGAGAATGTGGCAGTCTGCTTATGGAAAGCCATCCCTCTCCAGGTTTGCTTGATGCCCAGTCTTTTATTATTTAGGTGTAGGCTTGCCAGTCCCTTGGTCTGGGCAGGTCCCATTGTCCACTGCTGCTCCAAGTGGCAGTGGGAGAATTCTTTTTTAAAGGGCAGCACCACATGCATTGTTACATCACTTCTGGTAAAGCCTGGATGTGACAGACGATAGCTCTAGTAATCACCAGAAACACTATGGTTTCTGCAACCCTCTCCCTCCCTATGTAAGGCACAGCTTGGCAACTCTAGTTAGGACCCAGGTCAAAATTGTTATTTGCCGAGGCTTGTAATGGAGTTCTTTCCTGCTTTGTAGCTGACCATTTAATATCTGTATTGTGGATATTATACTCCACTAGGATGGAGTGGCTGATTAACTTACAGGGAAAATAATTGTGGTCCATTGTAGAAAGCAGAACCAAGCTCCGGTAGCTCTGCTAGTGCTATAAGAGCCACTTGGCTCAGATTTTTCGGCGGCAAGAGGGATCAACGTCAGCTCACCTCTTACTGCGCTGCTGCTCCATGGGAAGATGCAACGGACGAGCTGATGCCTATTGTTGATGCCACTGACAGGGCTTAAAAGGATGTAACCCCATTTAGGGCTTTTCTGCATTCTTTTTTTTCTTGGTTCTGTTCCACACATGGTGTGCACCCCCTAGTGGTAGATTTGATATTATATTGTCTTATGTCCAGCATAAAAACCTGCAGTGATGTAGTATAAAATCGGCCACTAGAGGGAGCACATGTAGAACAGAAAAAACAAAACCCCCAAAGCAACTGGAACACACAAGCCAGGAAAATGAAAATGAGGAAAAGCCCTTTGTTAGGCTGGGAAAAGGCTTCATACCTTGCAGAGCAATGAGGCTGGCCACATTTTGGGTGTTGCTTCTGTTCCATGTCCTTCTAATTACTGCTGGGTGGGATGGTTTTGATTAGATTCATTTTATTATTATTTATTAGTACCAGTTTGCTTTAATTTTGTTTTTATTGAGGCATTGTTCTTGTGCAACACCTTGAGCACTTTTCCTGGAAAGGCAGCATATACATAAGTTCTGTAAATACCATACATATATAGATAGCATATATACTCATGCTATAGAAGCTTGCCAGGCGACCTTGGGCCAGTCACATTCTCTCAGCCTAACCTACTTCACAGGGTTGTTGTGGAATAAAATGGTGGAGAGGAGAACGATGTAAACTGCCTTCGGTCCCCATTGGGGAGAAAGGTGGGGTGCAAATGAATTAAACAAATAAATAAACAAACATATATACCTGATATCTTTTCATAGGTGGGTAGTGATAGGGATATCTGTAAAGGAAATACCTAAATCTGTTCTTGAATACCTGTCAGAAAAGGAAACACAGTTTCAGTTGCTGAAATTGAGATAAAAATAATCTGCATACGTTTCATTTTAAAATAGAAATTCTCTAAAGTTAACAACATACTGCATTTTCTTCTGAATCCTCTGCTTTAAATCTTCTTCGGAAGTTTTTTACCTACAAGAAAAGAGGAGATTATGTAGGGTGGGTGTTATTTTCTTTCTCCAGTTGCTTGCTTAGACTCCACTGATGACAAATGCAACATATATCTTCTTTGGGAGGGAATGTGAGGGGGTACATAGATTGTTTCCCCCATTTGGTTTGTGTTCTGAAGCTGTGTTAATTCTTGTGCCTTGTGCTCCATTGTTTGTTTCTGTATTAGGTTTGCATCCATTAAGGAAGAGTAAACATCACCACAGTGACATCTAGTGACAGAACTCAGCATTAACCATCACAGAGCAAACTGAAGTCTGCTGAGCAAAGCCTTCAAAATGATGAGATGGACATTTCTTGAGAAGGACCAAGCTATGCTTATTGGACACAAATCAGCAACCAGTGGGTGGGCTGGGATCCAAACAAGATCAACAATGCGACAGAACCGTGCCCTGAAAGTTGTGCAGCCATAACATCTGAGACTGCCGAAATGTCTAAAGGTGGCTCCTTTGAACGCCACCATCTTTCAGAGGAATCAACAGGGCTGGGCCTCTATAACTGTGTAGCAGCCAGCCATTCCACCCAAAGCCTGTTGAAGCAGTATTTGTAGTAATAATTACCTTTATTTCCCCGTTCTCTATGCCACTTTGAGAACTTTTGAAACTGAAGAGTGATTAACACATGTATTAAATAAATAAAACTAAATATAAGAACATAAAAAACCAAGGCATGTACACATTTCCCTCGACTGTGCTAGGTGAGATTTTCACTTATGCAAGCTTACTACAAAAGATCAAAGCTCCAACTGGAATATGGAGAAGAGAAACAAATCCATATGGTCTATCGCAATATAATAAATGCATATCGTGTGTCAGGACCAAGTTGATGATCTAACAAAGAGGGGGCGCCAGTCACTGGTAGAGCAGCAGTTTCTGCTTTGCATGCCTAACATTTCAGGTTCTGTCCTCAGCACCTGGATTTAAAAGGATCTCTCAGGTCATAGCGATGGCAGTGTTACTGGTTAGTCAGAACAGACCATGCCCTGTCCTGGATGGCCCAGGCTAGCCCGATCTCATCAGATCTTGCAAATTAAGTGGGGTTGGCCCTGGTTAGTGCTCAGATGGAAGGACTGCCAAGGAAGCCCAGGGTTGCTATGCAGAGGCAGGCAACGGCAAACCACCTCTGTTCATCTCTCACCTTGAAACCCTTACGGGGGTCTCCATAAGTCAGCTATGACCTGATGGCACTTTCTGCCACCAGAACAGACCATACCAGACTAGATGGGTCAGTGATCATGGCCAGTAGGAGGCAGGTTCATTTCTTCATGCTGGCCTGAGCCCCTCGTTGCATGTTTAAATCCCCAGGTTCAGTTCAAGTCCTTGCAGCTGCAGTTCAAAAAGCGTCTGTTTCAGCCCCTTTTTAAAATTAACTACTCATCAAGTGGTGAAGGATTTCCTTTTGTCTGTCTTGAATCTAATAGTGCTGGTGGACCATAATTACTTTCATGGCCGGGCATTGTGGTTTCAAGCAACTTGGGCATCTGTCCATGACCAGGTCTCCCTGATGGGATCTGCGGGGACCTGCAGCTGCCCACTTATCCACCTCCCAGTGCTGTCTGCAGCTGCTGTTCTCAGTGTGGCCTGAGCGAGAGATGAAAGTGTTGCCAGTGCACGGTGTTTTCTTTGAGCTTGTCCACTTCCCACAAAGAGAGCGAGCCAGCTGGCAAGAAATGCAGCCGGTGGATCCTGGATTCTGAAGGAAGGAATCAGGAGTCTCCAGAAATAGCTGCTTTCCTTTTTGGCTCTAGGGAGCATACTAGTGGTGGTTCACCACACTTGTGGCTATTATGCAGGTTATTAGCCAGAGAGGGCTGAGAAGTGGGATGCAGACTTTGGAATTGACATCTCTTTTGCTGGCACATCCTTTCCCCGCCCTTGTCCCTCCTTCTCCCTCTGCTCAGTCTGGCTCCTGCTACGAGCCTTGCTTGCCAGCTCTCACTTCCTTTCCTTCCCCCAACTGCCTTCGATTCTGTTTTCTACCCAACCTGCCAGCTTCAAACTCAGTTCTGGTCCCCACTTTGCTCTTTATTTTCGCGACTTCTCTAGTACTGGCTGCACTGTCCCTAGTTCTCCTTCCAAAAGACCCTCCCCTGCCATCCATTTGCCAAGTTTCCCTCCCTGATAGCTAGGGCGGCTGACCTCAGGGTGGGAAATTCCTGGATGGGTGGGTAGGGGTGGGGGGTGAGGAGAGGAGGGACCTCAGTGAGGTGTAATGTCATTATCTAGCCTCCACAGCAGCTACTTTTCCCAGGGGAAATAATCTCTGTAGTTTGGAGGTCAGTTCTAATTCCAAGGGATCTCCAGGCCCCACCTGGAGGTCATCAACCTTACCTATAACCACCGGTCTACTTACCTCTAAGCTGTCGAGTCTTGTGAGCAAAAATTCTACTTGGTGAGCTACTGGCATTAAAATTGTGAGCAGGTGATATGGCTACCGCATGCATTAGTCTGCTCTGGATCCCTCCTTCCTGAGCTAAGACAGAAATGTGTGAGCCGGAGGCTCAAAAACTGTGAGCTAGCTCACACTCACTCATCTTAGAGGGAGCACTGCAACTGACTCACTGGTTCCTGATTCCCTCGCCTGTCTATCTGGAGTTTTTCTTCCCCTGTTGACCCCCTACTTCCATTTTCAAACAGGGTCTTCAACCTAAAATGTGTGCTTTAAAAAAAAAAATGGTAATACATAGACATTGCTCTTTACTTGCAGGTGGGATTATTTTTTTCATATTTTTCTGCAAGCCTATGGATTATCTCAGGCTTCCAGAAAAATATACCCTAACCCGAGGTTCCCACCTTCTGGGGTTTTGGATCTGCATAGTTGGGCAACTCAAGAAAATTAGATATGTGATTGATGGATGGGTGGATGTGTGGATGGATGGATGGATAGATGGATGGATGGAGTAAATGCAAAATCTTATTTGTCATATGTGAGTTCCACCTAAAAAAGGGCTATGGAGGATGGAACTGAACATAGGTGAGAAGCTCCACTCTGCCTTTTGTATTCCAGTATAAGGATTTTTTTGGTGACTATTTGTGTGTGTGTGTGTGTGTGCGCACACATGTGTGTGCCTGAAAGTCATGGTTGACTTCTGGTGACCCAGTGGGGCTTGGGCGTTTCAGAGAGGTAGCTTGCTATAGCCTGCCTCTGCCTCCCAGCCCTGATATTCCTTTGAGGTCTCCCTTCCAAGTACTGGCCAGGGTCAGCCCTGCTTAGCTTCCAAGATCTGATGAGATCGGGCTTGCTTGGGCTATCCACATCAGGGCTCAGTATGATAAGTTATAGATTGATATGACTGATAGAATTTACTAATCAATGTTGCCCATGAAAGAAGACTACAGAGCATCAACTACCCCCCAAAAAAATCAATTTAAACCAGTAACAATAATTTATAATTAAATTGTATTTAATACAAACAAGACGTTGGCCAGTCCAATGATAACACAACTGAATTCTGGCAGTGACGCAGACTAGGTAGAGGATTATTGAGTTGACTTACCGAGAAGGCACAAGCGATTCCCAAAAGGCAGAGGAAGAGCAGTGCTGTCCTCATGTTTTGGTGTCTGAAAACAAAAAACAAAACACAATCATGAGCCATCTGTATAGGAGAGCTGATGCCGATGGTTGCTTATATAAGTTGGGGTTTGGGGTGTTTCTCTGAATATGGGGTTTGGGTGCAGTTCTGTGCTGAATCACCATGTCCAGATAGATGGTATGTTGATTCTGATTGACAAATGAGACACTTATTTATCTGAGACATTAATAAGCCTGCTCCATCCTCAGATAATCGGGAACCAAGGCTGATAACAACAATAAAAACAGCACTCTATAACTTAATTCTGAGAACAACAGAATTAAAACAATCAGCAACTTTTGTATTTTATTGTAACTCAAGCTAGCCTGATCTCGTAGACCTTGGAAGCTAAGCAGGGCCAATCCTGGCTAATATTTGGAAAGAGACCTCCAAGGAATACCAGGGTCATGATGCAGAGGCAGGCAATGGCAAACCACCTCTGAACATCTCTTGCCTTAACAACCCTACAAGGTCGCCATACGTCAGCTGTGACTTGACGGCAAAAAACAACAAAAAGAAAAGTTATTGCATACTGAGAGATATGTATGTAGGTTTTGGAGGTCTTTGTTTATGGACCTGAAGGGCTCTTTTTGTAGCAGGTACTCATTTGCATATTAAATGACACACCCCTAATGTAGCCAATCCTCCAAGAGCTTACAGTAGCTCCTGTAAGAAGAGCTCTGTAAGCTCTTGGAGGATTGGCTACATTAGGGGTGTGTGGCCTAATATGCAAAGGAGTTCCTGCTACAAAAAGAGCCTAGCCGGGGAGCCTGACTTATAGCGGATCAGTCCATTGGTCTGTCAAGGTCAACTAATAAGCAGTAATATGCCATTCTTTGTTCCTCAAGATTTATGAAAGACACCTTATTTCATTTGGAATGCAATTGATTATCTGGGTCACATGACTTTCTCATGGACGTACCAGGCTACCTCAACCGTTGGACCCCATTGCTCAGCACTGTCTACTCGGACCAGCAGCCTCTCTCTTGGGTTTAGATTAAGATGAGTTGCCATATTAGTCTGTCTGTAGCAACAGAAAAAGTAAGAATCCACCTTAAAGCACCTTAAAGACTTACAAAATTTGTGGTAAGGTATGAGCCTTCCTGAGTCTCAATTCATACCAGATGGATGCATTGTCTTGAGCTGCTGACCGAAGCCGCTGACCGAAGCTGCTGACCGAACTTAGGTTTCCTCTTTCATTACTAATGCTGATTTCTCCTTGCCTACTACCTGTCCGCATATCACACCTAATCCAATTACACCCGTCATTGTCAATGTCATTCGGCATCTGAACTCACTCCACTTTCCAATAGGACAGATGGACTCCCATTCTAGCTGTATCTGAAGAAGTGAGCAGTGACTCATGAAGGCTCATAAGTAAAGGTTTCCCTTGCTCGAAAGCCAGTCGAATCTGACTCTAGGAGGCAGTGCTCATCTCTGTTTCCAACCCAAAGAGCCAGTGCTGTCCAAAGACTTCTCTGTGGTCATGTGGCTGGCATGACTAAATGCCGAGGCACATTGAATGCTGTTACCTTCCCACCAAAGCGGTACCTCTTTATCTACTTGCAGTTTCTTGCTTTCGAACTGGTAGCTGGGGCCAGAGATGGGAGCTCACTCCGTCGTGCAGCACTAGGGTCTCGAACTGCCGATCTACTGACCTTCCAGTCTGCAGCTCAGCGTCTCAACCTCTGACCCACCGTGGCCTTATGAGGGCTCATACCCTGCCACAATTATTATTTTTTGAGTCTTTAAGGTGCTGCTGGACTCTTGCTCTTCTCTCTTGGGTGTCTTCCAGGAAAAAAAGCCCTCCTGAAACCACCGCAGAGGAAAGGACACTAGTAGAAAAGTGGGTATATTAAAGAATGAGCAATATAACAATCCAAATAATCACAGAAATAGATGCGGAAAAATATAACATATACTGAGCAACAAATATTCATATGCTGAGCAATCGATATAATCAGAACAGTGCGATCATTATACTGTAGAACAAGTTACCATGTCATACTGAACATAACTTCTTGAGATGGCCATGCCCAGTGATTAGTCATTCTTCCTTGTGAAAAGGACACTGGTCACGTAGGGCAGACAATCAAGCTGGTCTCAGTGTTTCTCTGAGTGCAAGGCATCCATCCTGCAAACGTCCTTTTCAAAAACGAATCACTCAGAAAGGATGGATATGTGAAGAAGCTACTTGTACGACATGAGTCCAAGAGCCAGGGGAACTCATCAGTTATATTAGATAGATTCATTGTTCAGTATTCTTTTATTCATGGTTCGGTATAACATGTTGATTTGTTCTATAATATACTTTCAGTACTGTTACGATTATATTCATAGCTGTTGTTCAGCATATTTAGATGTATCCCTCAGTATATGTTATATTGTTCTATATGTATTTTTATGATCATTTCCACAGTCATGTTGCTTATTCTTTAACATAGCCAATTGTTTTGGCCAACCAGTAAGCATGGTAAGGATGCCAACTTCCAGGTGGGACCTGGGGATCCCCTGGAATTACAGCTCACCTCCAGACTGTTCCCTTGGAGAAAATGGATGCTTTGGAGGGTAGACTCTATGGCATTGTACTCCACTGAGGTTCCCCTCCTCCCTAGGCTCCATCCCCAAATCCCCAGGAATTTCCCAACCTTGATCTGGCAACCCAACCCTCTCATCCACTACCAGTTGGCCAGGGGGGACCTTGCAACTACAGTGTGGTTCCTTGCCAGCATCTGCTCTCTGGTTCCAAATGTTTGCAAAGCAGGAAAACAGACATTAACAAAGAGGGAAACCTGGTCATGAATGAACTCTCACATAAGCACCGCTTCATAACCAAGTTCTCATAACATCTAATAAAAACTGGTCCTGTTTCCACCAATATCGGCTTGTGATTGATGAGAGGCAGAGCTGCTCTTCATTAAGACCATCACAGATACATGCTCTGTTTTGTCCAAGCAGTCTTGCCGTCCAGACCCAGCCATGTATAGGAATGTTAAATACCAGTTTAAGGAAGGAAGTTAAAATATAAATTCTGGAGCAATAACCATTAATTACATTTGTAAGTACAACGCCGAAACCGCTAAGTCACTCTGTGACAGTTCTGGGCATGGGTTCAGGTTCTGCGAGGTTCCAAGGTCTAGATTTCCTGTACAAATCGTGAGAACTAAGTGTAGCCAATCATTAGGGGAGAGGAGGTCATACTATTCCACGGATTTTGATATATCATTTCCTGATTTCCTTCTAACTCTTGAATATAGCACTATTATAGAAACAGAATTTGGAAAGGATACTGAAAGCTCACTGAAAACCTCCTTCTGCTCCCAGATAGGAAATTTTAGGCCCCAAGTATGCCAGACAGGTTGTGGAACTCAGGAAATTGATTATATTTGTTGAGAACTCAGCTGACCTGCAGGGTTATACAGAAGACTTGGATATATATGAAGTTGCTTAATACCAGAGTAAGGGATCTCAGTGGGGTATAGCAGCATAGAGTTCACCTGCCAAAGCTGCCATTTTCTCCAGGGGAACTGATCTAGGCCACCTGGAGATGAGTTGTAATTCTGGGAGATCTCCAGGTTCCACCTGGAGACAGCATGCTAGCATCAGGGCCATGGGGGAGGGTCAACAATTTTCAGTTACTTTTGTCTCCCATGGATTTGGACAAGCCAATTTATTTTCAGACACTGTTTGGGTTGAATATGGATGAGGTCGGGGGAGAGGTGTTAAAGAGAACTTTCCCTGGAGGTCCATGGTGGCCTTTGACAGACTCACTCAACGCTGCCTGTGTTGACTGCCAGTGACTCTCCAGGTATCAGGCAAAGAAAGATCTTTCTTATCACCTGCTGCCCTTTTCAGCTGGAGATGCCAAGGACCGAAGCAGGAATCTTATGCATGTTCTGTACTAAGTCTTACTGGCAGGAGACTTATCCTCATAGGTGGTTTAACTTCCAGCAAGACCTGGAAGTGACATCATCACATAAGGAGGACACTACAGCATTCACCCCAAATTCTATGGTTTAACCATAGTTTGGGGGTGAATGCTAGAGTATTGCCTGACACAATGACATCACTTTTGGTTTGCGCTGAAAGGCATGATGTGGCTTTACCACAACATCAATTGGCTCCCCAATCCCCCCCCCGTGCTGCCCACATGGGGGCACAGCACCAATGAGAGGGGTGGGAGATCTCCCTCTGAACAGGAGTCCTGGCCTCTCTATCTACTATAGACCCCATAGCCTTTTCTCAGTTTTCTGGATCAACAGTAGTCCTTCACTCCTTGTCCTTTAATATCATAGCTCAGGGCTATTGAGTATTTGGTTAGAATCTGGTTAACACAGAATAAGGGATGATTAGGCCTTGGTTCCTGCCGGAGCGCACCGGAGCACTAAGCAAGTTTGAAGAACATTGGACCAGGGGGATGGGGGCAACTTTGTTTCCCACCATAGAGAACAATGGAGGGGATAGGGGCAACCTGTTTGGGGGCCCATAGAATTGGACCCCTTGGTTCAATGTTCCTGAAACATGGCAGGTATCTTGGGGAGAGGTCCCAGCAGCTACCCTGCAACTGTTGAGCCTCTCCCTCAAACCCCCTCTCCTCCAGCCCCCAGAATATACCCTATGTTTTCGCCATTGACTTCAAAGGCCCATAGGATAATGGGGCCGAATGGCGGGAAGCCGATTCAGATCAGAGAATCTGATTCGGCCCGCAGCAGCCTGAAAGGGGCCCGAATGGGCCATTTTTGGGGGTGCATTTGGTTCAGATGAACCGAATACACATCCCTCCAGCAGCCGGCTTGCTCGGGCTCTCTGCAGCCGCAGGGATCCTGAGCAAGGAACGGGAAAGTAGTTTAAACCGCCTCTCCTTCCTTCCAGCAGCCGGCTTGCTTGGGCTCCCCGAGCACACCAAGGGAAGGGAAGGTGGCAGAGTAGCTGGAGACATTGAGCCTCAGCTCCACAAGTAATGAGCACTCGAGCCCCGCCCCCAGCAGC